AAAAAAGAACCTAAAAAGTTCACCCATGTTGAAAGGGAATAGGTAACACAGATCCAAACCTATTTCACCAATGTCCTTTGCCCTGGTCCTATTTCAGGTGAAAAAGATCCATCTGAGGGGCTGGGGTGGAAAGAGCCCCTGTGCATCCCACGCTGCAAACTGCAGCAAGGAGAGTTAAAGGTCTGCCTGTTGGATTTGGGGGCAGGGAGCATCGCAGAGCCAGGCACAGGCTCCCCTGCTCCTCATAGACTCAAATCTCTATCCTCGTGGAGCAACTGCCCACCAAGGATCAAGCCCTTCTCAAGTGTGTGCTGAACCTGTAGTTCTGGCAATGGCTCAGAGGTCAAAGCCCCTTCTCCCGTTCTGGCTTATCTCCTGCCCCCCCCGCCCCGCCCCTTCTCTAAATTGTTTCTGTCACACTGGCCTCTTTGCTGTCCCTTGAACATACCAGGCAGGGGATGACCCCCACCTCAGGGCCTTTGCACGTGCTGTATGTCCATATTAAGACACTCTGTCTCCAGATACTTAGTTGGCCCTCTCCCTTACCTCTTTCCATTCAGCTCAGAGAGGCATCTCTGCCTGTCGCTATCCATTCCTCCTCTCCTCTCCCCTGTTTTGTCTCCATAGCCAGTCCTTTAACTTGTTCATTTATGGTTGTCTCTCCCCACAACATCTAGGGGAAGGGATTTTTATCTTTTTTATTTTAATCCCCCATTCCTAGCAGGCCTACCACATACTAGGCACTAACTAAATACCTGTTGATCAACTGAATACATGTAAGATACCATTAGTAGTACGATGGGCATTAATATTTTTCCACCACTCACTCACTGTACTGGGTGCTTTATATATGTTACGTCATTGATGGTGCAAAATCTTAACAGGTGGGCCATGTTATGCCTATTTTTTTTTAAGATTGATTTTATTTATTTGAGAGAAAGAGAGAACAAGCAGGGAAAGGGACAAAGGGAGAAGTAGGCTCTCCACTGAGCAGGGAGCCTGACTCGGGGCTTGCTCCCAGCACCTCGGGATCATGACCTGAGCCGAAGGCAGGTACTTAACCTACTGAGCCACTCAGGTGGCCCTATGCCCATCTTATTTTATTATTTTTTCCTTGATTTATTTTTTTTGGATAGATTATACAGTTACAGAGTTCTAAACTCAGAAGATACTAAAGAGTGTAATAGTAAAAAGTCTCCTCAGCACATATTCCCTTCTCCCATTCCCTACCCAGGAGGGTCCCTGGTACATGGTTCTTGGGAGTTCTTCCAGAGAGATTCTCTGCTGTGTGTGCCTCCACATTTCCCTAGCCTCCATCCTGCACACAATTTGTAACACATGTTATACTCAAACTGCAGCCTGCTGCCCATTTTTGTAAATAAATTTGATTGACCCCACCCCTCATCCAAACTTGCCATTCATTGTTTTTATGGCCACTTTGGAGCTACAATGGTAGAAACGAGATCATTCCACAGAGAGTATATATGGCCTGCAAAACCTAAAATATTTACCTATGTAAAATAATATTTATGGAAATAATATTACCTTTCCAGAAAGAGTTTGCTGACCTCTACTCTATACTGAACTTTGCATTTATTTTTTTCTTAATAGAGTTTGGTGATTTTACCAGATAAATACATAAAGACTTTACTCATTCTTTTCTTTTTAGATTTATATTTACTTTAAAGAGAGAGAGAGAGAGCACGTGAGCACAGTGGGGAGGGGCAGAGGGAGAAGAATCTCAAGCAGACTCCCAGTGGAGTGAGGAACCCTACACAGGGCTCGATGTCACACCCCTGAGATCATGACCTGAGTCAAACCAAGAGTCAGATGTTTAATCAACTGTGCCATGCAGGTGCCCCATTTAAAAAAAATGTTTATTTAAATTCAATTTAGTTAACATATAGTGTATTTTTAGTTTCAGGGGTAGAATTTAGTGATTCATCAGTTGCATGTAATACCCAATGCTCATTGCAAGTGCCCTCCTTAATGCCCATCACTTAATTACCCCATCCCCCCAACCACCCCCCCTCCAGCAACCCTGTTTGTCCCCCATAGTTAAGAATCTCTTATGGCTTGCCTCCCTCTCCATTTTTATTTATTTTATTTTTCCTTCCCTTCTCCTACGTTTATGTTTTGTTTCTTAAATTCCACATGAGTGAAATCGTGTGGCATTTGTCTTTCTCTGACTGACTTGCTTAGCATAATAGTCTCTAGTTCAATCTACGTCATTGCAAGTGGCAAGGTTTCATTCTGTTTGATGGTTGAGTAAAGCAACCTCTTTGACCTCAGTCACAAGAACTTCTTGCTAGATACATCTCCAAAGGCAAGGGAAACAAGCAAAAATGAACTATTGGGGCTTCATCAGGATAAAAAGCTTTTGCACAGCAAAGAAAACAGTCAACAAAAACTAAAAGGCAACCTACAGAATGGGAGAAGATACTCGAAAATGACATACCAGATAAAGGGCTAGTATCCAAAATCTCTAAAGAACTTATCAAACTCAACACCCAAAGAACAATCCAGTCATGAAATGAGCAGAGGATATGAACAGACATTTCTCCAAAGAAGATCTACAAATGGCTAATAGGCATACGAGAATATGCTCAACATCACTCAGCATCAGAGAAATACAAATCAAAACCACAATGAGATGCCAGCTCACCGGGCCCGAACGGCTAAAATTAGCAACTCAGAAACAACAGACATTGGTGAGGATGCAGAGAAAGGGGAACCCTCCTGCACCATTGGTGGGAATGCAAACTGGTGCGGCCACTCTGGAAAACAGTATGGAGCCTCCTCAAAAAGTTAAAAAGAGAGCCACCCTATGACCCAGCAATTGCACTCCTATGTATTTATCCAAAGGATAAAAAGCAGTGATTTGAAGGGGCACCTGCACCCCAATGTTTATAGCAGCAATGTCCATAACACCCAAAATATGGAAGAAGCCCAGATGTCCATTGGCAGATGAATGGATAAAGATGGTGTGTTATGCCCATTTTATTGGTGAAGGCACCAAGACACAGGGAAATTATACAATTTAATTCATGTCAATCAGCTAGAAAGATTGAGCTACAATAAATCACAGATTTTTCTGATTCTATAGCTTCTGTGCCAATGCTTCTTAAGCTACCTGGTGAAGGACTGGTTGGGCGATAAAAGTGAAATGGGAAAAAAATTTTTTAAATACCATTATGTGCTTGGATGTCATGACAATATCAAAGTTTTTAGACACCAGCAGTGTCTGTACTGTCACACAGCGTAGTAGAAACACTTTGGTCCAGACTGTATTCTTGAGTAGCTCTGTACTACCAATTCTTCTGAATTGGATATTCTTGAGTTTCCAGGTGGTCTGGGACTGGGGTTGAAGCTCCATGAGAAAAGTTCAGAATCTCTTTTACCTGCAGGGAACTTGATAATTTCACAAATGAACTTTCCTTCATTTGACACCTTACAGTTCTGGGAGGTGGAAGGTGGGTTTTCTCCCCCCACACCCCTACCCTGTCCTCAGATAAGAAAGCTTGCTTTTTTCCCTCTGGCCAGGACACCCCTTCCCAGGTTGACTCTTCATCGGCCTTGGGGTCTCTGCTCAGCATCACGTCCTCAGAGCAGTCTTCCCCAACAGCCTCCTCCAGAGAGCACCTATGACCCTTCCAGTCACCATGCCCTGTTTCACTCCATCACCATCAGAAATTGCCTATTTGTTTACCGGCCTATTTTCTCTCTTCCTTTTTTATAAGACAAAGTCCAAAAGGGCAGAAACCTCTCAGCTCATGGGGTTTCTCCATGGTACAGGCAGAGCGAGGCTCCCTGAAGGATTTGTTGAATGAATTCAGTAAGGACATAGAACCGCAGAGCGGTAAAATACGGCATACCTAAGGTCAAAATAAGTAAGTGCAGGACCTGGAAATCAAACCCATTTGGTGATTCCCCAGACAATGTTTATGAGTCTCCTTCTCAGAGTCGGGCATCAAGCTGGGCCCTGGGGTAGGGGTGGGCAAGAGAAGCAAGCTCCCTGTCCTGATGGGGCGGACAGACCCAGTTCCAAACCTAGGAGTCCTCCTTTCTGCCTTTCTGGTTTCTTTCATCTGTACATACTCTTCTGCCAACGATGAGCACTTTCTCACAAACAACTGTGTTATCTCGTAAGCAGGGATTATTACTACATCTCTTTTTTAGGGTTGCCAGTTGAAATACAGTGATGTTTGAATTGCAAATGAACAATGAGCAATTCTTTAGGATAAGTGTGTCCCATGCAATCCTCAGGACATACTAAGAAATTTTTCATTGTTATCTGAAATTCAAATTTAACTAGATGTTCTGGGTTTTTTTCTTTCTTTCTTTCTTTTTTGTCTTCTCAATCTGGTAATGCTACAGTTTGACAGACAAGGAGTCAGGGGCTTAGTGAAAGCAAGCTGACTTAGAAGGCTTGCCCCGAGGGCACCCAATCCGTGGGAGAGCCCCCACCAGCCTATCCAAAATTAGCTAACTCCTCATTCTCTCTCAAAGACTCTGCTTCTGGGCCCAAGCCAATTCCTGCTGTCTCCATCCATGTACTCTGAGGATTATCTTGCAGTTCAAATATCTCCTTTACCTCCAGCAAAAAAGCTGTTTTCATGTCTATATTTAATTACTTTTTAAAATCTTTTCTGATTATAGAAATGTGTACTTGCAAAACCTTCATTACGATGGAATACTACACATCTGTGAAAAGGGACAGGTTTCTGCTACACACAACAACCAGATTAGTGAGTTTTTGTGTATTTATACACATCAACTTAGAGAAATGATATTGAACCAGATTCCAGATACAAAAGAGGAGGTCCTGTATAATTCCATGTATATCAAGTTCCAAAATAGTGAATAATGATTCCTGGGGGGATGGAGTAGTCTGACTACGAAGGGACAGTGAGGGAACTTTTTGGGGTTTTGGTAATGTATACCTTAATTTGGCTGAAGGTTACATACGTATATAAATAAATAAATCCAAGCTGGTTTTTTAAAAAGATTTTATTTATTTATCCATGAGAGACACACAGAGAAAGAGGCAGAGACACAGGCAGAGGGAGAAGAAGCAGGCTCCTCGCAGGGAGTCTGACCCCGGGATCACACCCTGAGCCTAAGGCAGATCCGCAACTGCTGAGCCACCCAGGCGTCCCAATCCAAGCTGTTTGGTTGAGATTTGCACACTTTTCTTTGTAGATTATACTTCGATGAAAAACTAAAATAATAATAATAATACACGCCCACTGTTGAAAACTAATGAAGTACGGACAAATGTAAAAGAAAATAAGAAGTCTGTGTTCTCACCCCTGGGAGACTGACTGCACAAGCAACATCCTACAGTGTATCCTTCCAGATATTTTCCCCAGCAGCATTAACTTTTCATGAGCATTTCCTACGAAAGGACTTCGGGAGCTAAGTACCAATCACTGGACATATTAATTTATTTAGGAATCTAAATTTCTGGGCAAGTCTTTCACTTACCCAGAAAGCCCTGACACAACTAGATTTAATTTGACCATTTTTAGAAGAGCATGGAACAATTAACATCAAATAAATGGAATTAAAATCAAATTGAACACAATCTTTCAATGATACGGCTTAGAATTTGATTTTAAGTACAGTAATGAATATAAAATGAAAGCGTGAAGGCTGAAAAGAGCTCCGGGGGCCTCCTGGGACCCAGAGTGCCACCTGCTGGTCCCGGTCCTCAATGACACCCCACCGCCCCCTCAGGTAAAGCCCGGCCTCCCCACTTACAGGCCCCAAATATGATACCTCCTTTCCTCGCATATACGTTTGTGTCTCTCCCAGAAGTCTTGATGCTTCCCTCATGTACTGCACAGTTCCTAAATAAATATTAATAAATATTTGTTAAAGAATGAATGAAAGGATCAATGAAGGATGGACAGACCAAAGGACAGAGGGGCATTCTTGTGCATCACTATGAAACAAGGAAGTAATCTCTGCCCTACTCATTTCTTTGTTTTTATTTTTATTTATTTATTTAAAATATTTTATTTATTCATGAGAGACACAGAGAGAATGGCAGAGACATAGGCAGAGGGAGAAGCAGGCTGCCTGCAGGGAGCCCCATGTAGGACCTGATCCAGGGACTCCTGTATCATGCCCTGAGCCAAAGGCAGATGCTCAAACGCTGAGCCAGCCAGGCGTCCCCTCTTTGTTTCTAACCAAAATGATGATTTGATATACACACATGTACTAGAAATGATTACTGGCCAAACTAATATATCTCTTCACATAGTTACCGTTTTGTGGTGAGAGCACTTACGTTCTACTGTGAACATATTTCCAGTATTTAACAGTCCTATTAAGGAGAGCCATCATGCTGCCCATAGTCATCCTGCATTACTGCAACTCTGTGCTCTTCGACCAACATTTCCCCCACCTCCCCGCCCCCGTTAACCATGGTTCAACAATGCTGCTTCTATACGTTTGACTTCTGCACATTCCACATTTAAGTGAGCATGCAGGGTTTTCTTCTTTCTTCGTGGGCTTTTTTCGGGAAAGCAGATAACCCATGGGGGAGACCAGATGAATGTGAGGGATTATGATGACAACCCAACAGCAGAGGGTAGAGGAGTCAAACAGGGACCAGGGTGAGCAGCGAGGCTGCAGAAACAGGCAGTGCGTTAAAAACAGGAAAGAAATATATGTGAAACGTCTTGAGCCAGACACTTAATAGGCATCTTTTCCCTTTCCTCTTCCTCCTTTGCGGTCCAGCTCACAAGTCCTTTCCACAGGACCTGGCAAGCTAGACACAGAGATGTGTCCTTTCCTGGGCCCACTCAGAGGTGGGGTGATGTTCGATGTTTGGTACCAGTTCTGAAGAGTCCAGGGTCACCGCGCCTGCGGGTGTGAGCTGGCCTGTCAAAGCCCTCCTGAGTTAGGGAAGGTGGTTTCTGAGCCATCGCTGTCAGGCTGTCTGATAGCGAGGTGCCCATCTGAGCGTGTCCACTGCTGACAGCAGTTGACGAGCGTCACGCTGGTCTTGCTTTTAGATGCTGCACAGTGGGGCTCTGGCCTGCATAAAGGCGGTGTGATGCAGCAGAAAGAGTGCGGACAAGGGGTCGGAAAGGCTGGGCTCACTAGCTAGGTGACCTTGAGCAAGTCAGCTTGCCCTTGCTGGTATACAAACCATCTCATTAGGACGGCGTAATGAGATAATGCTTGGGAAAACACTATGTGAACCAAAGCACTAGACCTCGGTTAAGGTGTAGCTGTTAACAAAACCCCAAATGAACATTATACCCCAGATGTGACCTGAGTGAGCTCCAAAACTACAGGGAGTGTCGCCTGCGTTGGCCTGGACCCAGCTTTTACTTATGGAATCGAATCCCATTTTAGCAGCTATATCACCATCTTATTCACATGGAGCTTATGGCCCACCAAGACCCACCTCCTGCTGGCTTCTTAAAATATGGGCTGCGCCCCAAAAACCACTCTTTCTTTGGGCAGTCAACCTTTTGAAACTAAGTGTAGACTTTGTGTTACATTTGCACTAGGTAAAGTTAATCTTATTGCTCTGGCCCTCTATAGAGGCTATTAAAATTTTTAATTTTAATTACTTTGGCAATTCCGTATGCTCTCTCTCCCTGCCAACTTGATGACAGCCCCCCATTTCAACAGTGTACAATCCATGCATTCGTTCATTCAATGCATTTGCTGAGCACCTCCCGTTGCCTAGACAGTGATAGGAGTCAGGAGATACAGAGGATCTATCTGATAGAGGGTGGCAAGTGCCATGGCAGTGGTCACAGTGCCATGGCTGCTAGAGGCTAAGAGAGCAGGGCATTCCTTTTGCTGCCAGCAGCAGTGGGAAGGTTTTCCAGTTCAGAAGATTTGGCAGTGGTCAGAGGCCCTTCTCCTCTTCTTTCTGAGCACACCCTCAACTATATTTCCAGCCCTGATGATTCTTGGTGTTTCCATATTAATGACAAGGTCTTTCTTCCTGGGCAGGTGAAGAGATAAAGTTCATTGTGACAAGCCTCTCGTGATTTCCTCCACCTTCCAAGCAAAGAAACTGCAGGTAGCAATAGCTAGCCTCCTCTTACCTTTCTACTTCCTCCCATCCTCATCCCCTGGCCAGTGCACACACTCTTTCTGCAAATATCAGCAGAATTCCTGCTGTATTGGGCTCCACTGCGTCCTCTTAAATCCTCTCTGAGTCCAGAATCTCCACAATGGGGAGCAGGTGCCTTCTCCACTGGGGGGACCCTCTCCCCTAGCCCTTTCATCTCAGCCCAAATGAAGATCTGAGCCTCAGCATCCCTATAGCCCTGGCTTAGCACTCCCCGGCATGACGTAAAGGTGCTGAGGGAGGGAGGAAAGTGTGAGATGTCGACATGCCTTGTCCTCTGTGTCCCTTCCTTAGAAGAGTGCTGTGATGAGAAAAGGCCAAATTCTGAGTAAAGAGACACAGGCTTGAGTCCCAGGTCTGCCACCAACCAATGCTGTGCCTGTAGATACCACCTGCAGAGCAAGCTCTAGACCAGATCTTCGGGTCCCCATTCAGCTCTAATATTCTGACTCCTTCTATGCTAATCCCTAATTCCTGGATGGATCTTCCACCCTCTTCTTGTCTAACTTTATAGAGGAATAAAAAAAATCTTACAAAAAAGAGGCAGTAGGAAGGGAAAAGAGGTTAGCCAGCCTCCCTTCCAATGCAGCACATGCTGGCAGTGAGCCCCCTGACACTGAAGACCAACTGCTAAGGGCTATAACTTCAGGATCGCCTAAGATTCCTCCTCCCCAGAAACTCGATTTCTTTTAGGCCTGGCCTCATCTTGTCCAAACTCAAGTTCCATGCTAATTGTCAAGACTGGCTTGAATTATTCTTGGGATTTCTACACGGGAATGGTTTGGGGGATACTCTTTGCAGATGTATTCATCCTTACAGGCCTTCAGCACTTCTCCGGACCGAGCCATCTGGATAGGAGTCCCTTCATTTTCTCGGGCCTTGTTTCCTCACCTGTAAACAAGAAAGGCTGTTCCTCCCAACTCTCCAGCGCTGTGGTTCTGCCGTGGTGGGAGCCTCAGCCTGTGATTCCACATGCGGCTCGCAACCAGCAGCAAGCCAGGGAGACACACACGCGCACACACACACATACACAAAAAGGATGCCATCTGACGATGAAATGCAAAAGGAATTATGCAATTAGCAAAGGATGTTGATCACACAACATGTGAGCCTAATTGCAGCACATGCACATGTTTGTTAAATTAGATAAATACGGGTTTGCAGTCACTCTGGCACACAGATTGAGCTGTAAAGTTAAGGAAAATATAGAAGCTGATTACGAGACAGGAGCGATAAACACAGGGTATGTGCGCTAGGCCGATTAGGATTATTAACCAAGTCATCACCTCGCACCTAACGTGGAGAGTTCTAGGAGCCCCAGGCCCGTAGTCTGACGACTGCAAAGTCACCGTGTTTCCTAGAACACGAAACACACCCTTCACTTTTACACAGCACCTCGTCACCTGGGGAACTCCAGCACCTGGGACTGGTTATATTGGCTCACCAACCCACCCAGTGCACGCTGCTGAGGCAGGCAAGGCTTTGCGTACTGACATAGACAAGAAAGTCTGGATCCTCACCATTCTCAGGCTCTCCTGAACCTGTTATGAATGATAAATCTTGGGCAGCCCCGGTGGTGCAGTGGTTTAGCACCGCCTGCAGCCCGGGGTGTGATCCTGGAGACCCGGGATCGAGTCCCATGTCGGGCTCCCTGCATGGAGCCTGCTTCTCCCTCTGCCTGTGTCTCTGCCTCCCTCTCTCTCTCTCTGAATAAATAAATAAATCTTAAAAAAAAAAAAAAAAACAAGTGATAAATCTTTCGGCCCAGGAAGCAGCTCTTATGTGAGTGAACCTATCAGGCTCAGGACCATCCGTGGAGAGGTAGCCATAGTGACAACCTAGCTTCTGGAGACAGCCCACGTGAATTTGAATCCTGGGTCCATCATTGATTCTTTGATAAGTTAAGTCAACTCGTGGTGCCCTGGTTTCCTCACTTCTGTCCTGGGGACAATAGTATCACCTATCTTGTGGGGTAGATACAAGGGTTAAAGGAATTATTAGCTGAGAAAGTACTAAGAACACTGTCTGGCACGTAGTAAACGCCCAAAAAAGTGGATTATTTCTTCCCATTTAGTTTCCCCTCTTCATCAGCTCATTTGTTCAACCAAGTAAGGGCCCATTATGTACAAGGCACCACGCTAATGACAATGAGCATAGCAGGGACCTGTGCATGCATGCACGCACACATATAGGGGTTCCATCGTCACACTGGGATTAGAGAGGAAGCACTGGCACACAGGTAAGTGCAGTGAAGTTACATGTGACGTGTACTATTTAAGTATTACAAAATGCGCCGGGGGCATCATTTCTGCAAAGCCACCAGAAAAGGATTCATGGAAGACAGGCCAGGATGAGATTTTAACAGAGAGGAGACTGAGTAGAAGGATGTGTAACATTCTAGGCAGGAGGTGCAGCAGCACAGGCAAAGATGCTGAGTCAGAAGATCCAAGGCAGGGGGCACCTGGGTGGTGTAGTGGGCTGGCTGCCCGACTCTTGGTTTCAGCTCTCGTCGTGATCTCAGGGTCATGAGATCGAGCCTTGCATCGGTTCCACACTCAGCACAGGGTCTACTTGGGGTTCTCTCTCCCTCTCCCTCTGCCTCTCCCACTCATGCTCTCTCTCTCTAACATAAATAAATCTCAAAAATAAAAAAGATAACATTTAAGGAAAAAAAAAAGATCCAAGGCAACATCAAGGTATTGCCAGAAGTGATGGGTGAGGCCAGAAAGCAACTTTGAGGTCCTCTGTGGCTGGGAGTGGGGATCTGGGGTGGGAGGTGGTCTCAATTTCAAGCCCTGAGTATTAACTTTATCCTGTGAGCTACAGAAACTCCCTGGAACATTTTAAATGATACATTTTAGGACAAAGTAGTGTTAAAGGAAGATGAATCTGGCAGGGTGAGCAGCAAGGATAGAAAAGGAGAAGACTGGTGACAACGTGCGCTAGGAGACTACTGCAGAAGTCCAAGCATGAAGTCACAGGGGTAAGAATAAAATGTCAGGGACACTGGGGAGGGCAAACTGTCAGGACTCAGTGACCAAGAAGATGTGCTGAGCAAGGATAAAGAGGAGAAAGAGGTGACTGTATGGTTCTGAATGTGAGTAACACGGACAGAAAAGGAGGCTTGATGGTCAGCGAAAGATTCTGATTCCGAGTGGCATAGAGTAGAAGTTCTGAACAGGGGCTTGAGGGTGGAACAGTTAGGGATTACCTGCTATGCTATCTGCTAGCTGCATCACTCTCAGCCAGTTTTAACCTCCCAGAGCTTTTCTTTCTTTTTTTTTTTTTTAAAGATTTTATTTATTTATTCATGATAGTCACACAGAGAGAGAGAGAGGCAGAGGGAGAAGCAGGCTCCATGCACCGGAAGCCCGACGTGGGACTCGATCCCGGGTCTCCAGGATCGCGCCCTGGGCCAAAGGCAGGCGCCAAACCGCTGCGCCACCCAAGGATCCCTCCCAGAGCTTTTCTCATTTGCAAAATAGGAATAAAAACAACATACTTCTTACGGATGTGAAGACTAAGATAATAATGTGATGATAATGTAAAGCACTTGCAAAGTACCTGCCCAAAGAGAGCGTGAAGTACATGCCCAACAAAAAAATAACCAGGTATTTTGTATACCCCAAATAGACAATACAAAAATACTTAATGATACACTGCACTCAAATTCTCCTGAACAAATATTCACACTTTGATGATTCATAAGCTCCTTCCAGATCTTGCAGAACCACCAACATCACAACATACTGTCACTATGTGAAAGCCCCAAAAAAAACACTGGTTAGCACATACTCGATTCAGGTTAAAAATAAACCGGCTCACTGTACAGCTTTAGAGACAGAAGGAAAAAGAGCAGTGAGGAACAATCCCTGCTAATGGAAGTGGACTGTGAATTCGGGTAAATTCCTCCCATATTCTCATCAAAGACCCCATCATTTTCCTCTTCGCGCCTCTCGGGCAACACCGGCTTCCACATACCTTTTCCTGATTTCCTGTGACAAACGTGGTGAAGATGATGCCGAACAGTCAGCTGGGGAGTGTGAACTTCAAAGGCCTATTGACACAGCTGCAGGCCACTGGCCAGGGGCCAGGGGGGCAGGCCTGTCTGCAATGCTTGAGCCACACCTTGAGAGCAGCAAAATGGCAAAGGGACCAATAAACCATCCCAGTTCTTGGAGGGAGCACTGTTATCTAGGCCACAAAAATTCAACGTGCCAAAGCAAACTGGTTCTATCCAATGGGCCTCCGGAGTTTGGAAATTACAGACCTAAATCATGGTCTAATCCATTTTCTGTCACTGCAGAGCTCAGCTCACAGCTGATGTCCTGTTGCAGGCAACACCGCCCTTGAGCCAAACTGCTGTGAAGTTTTCAAAAATACCCGGAACCCTCTGAGACAATCCTCTACGGGTCCAAAAAAACAAAAAGCAAGCTATGAAGCAGCCCATCAGTCTGCCAGACTTCAAAGCCTGTGCCTTTCCCAGTTTTCAAGGGGAACTCACCATCAGCATTGAAATCAATCATACACTGTTAGAAGATTCGGGCAATCGAGTCTGCTCCCCTCCATATCACAGGAGAAGTGGCTGCAGCTCAGGAGCTGGGCGGCGTGTCTAAGATCACACAGCGCGTGGCAGTTCCCGTGGCGGAAATCAATAAGCTATTGGATCATATTAAAAAGATGGTTTCCTTATAATCAAATGACGATTAATGTTTTCAAACACTTTTTTTTTTTTTAACATTTGTTGCCTCAGTTGGTCCCCATCATCAATGAAGTCTTTACATCACTGACATTTCCAGGCCCTTTCACAGAAAAGGACTCTGAGGTTCAGAGAGGTACATGGCTTACCCTAGGCCACAGAGCTAGCTAGCGGGTACCACAGCCAGGGCTAGAGCCAGAGTCCTTGGCTTCTAAGCCAGTTGGCCAGTGCTAACCAAATCCAATTCGATGCCCCGGGCCGTGCCTAGAGTAATTAGGTTGTTTATGTGCTGGGAGAAGAGATACAGAAGAGCAGAGAGCAGAAGAGGCAATATGTACGAACAGAGCCCACAAATTAGATGAGAAACCTTAAATGCACTTACTAATTCTACTAGGAGATAAGAGTATGTTATTTTAGAGCATTTTTTCTTGTTCAATGTATCTTTCTCAAGCATTTCTGTAAATTAAGTGTCCCCCCCCACCACCCCAAAAAAAGATGATAAAGCTAGTGGTAGGTTTCCAAAGGCCTGGCCCACAGCGGAGCACTGAGCACAGCTGTACTGTCGCAGGGATGGAGGGAGGTAGCACAAGAAGGCAGAGGATGCAGACCCAGTTGGTCAGGAGGAATGACTTCCTGGCCAAACAGTCTGGCTCTTGGGAACCTCTTTCCCCAGAGTGATTACAACCAGAAAAAAATAAAAACAAAAGCAAATACTGATTTGTCTGATTATAATAATGTACGATAACTATTACTTGCTGCTTACCCTAAGGTGCAAATGTTGTGCTAAGTCCTTTACGTCCATTATCCCATCTCACCCCCAGGGCAACCCTGCAAGGTGGGTACTTTGATCCCCGTTTACACTGAGGAGGAGAATGTAGGCCTCAGAGAGGTTAAGTAATTTACCTAAGGTCACACAGATGTAACAATGAGGGAACTTTGAACCAAGTTCTATTTCCCTCCAAAGTCCTGACTTGTATCCACATCCTAACCTCGTGCAAAGAAGTGATCGTACTAGATGCCTCTCCCTTCTCTAAACCCTGAGTTTTCCTAAGAGGGGGCCATCTAGGACATGACACAGATAGGACATTATCACAATGGCGCCACGACAGTGAGCATCTAAAAATTTTGGTTAACCAGCCTCTTTCCCTTTTTTAATAATAATTTTTAAAAGTATCATTTTGTATTATTCAAACCAACTTAAAAACAATTCTAGATTCTGACTTCAAAGATGGAACTTGGAACAAAGCTTAGCACTATTTAAAAAGCACAAGTAAAAGTCTCCATTTTGTGGGCAGATCCGAATGCAATTACTGCAACCGATTTCTATACTGCCAAATACTGAGAATTTTTATTGAGCATTTGCAGTTAAAGCTGAAAGGAGAGCTATCTACTTCTTTTCTGAGGATCCTGAGTGTTTTGCCAACAAAATGAATTATGTAGGTCCTGGTCAATCTCTGTTCCATATGATAAAGCAGCACAGCGAACAGCTGATTTCTACCAAATTATATCTGGGTATCGTTGGGATATATTAGGTCAGACTAGATCCTGGAAACCATGAATTTATGGGGAACTCACCAGTGCCAAGGAGGGAGAAGACACCTGCTGGAGGAAAAAGGGGGGTGTTGGAGGGCTCGGTGACAGCCTGTAACGCTGTGGGGGATGCCCCCCAGCCTATCTTGGCTGACCAGGAACGTGTTCTGTCTTCCCGGCTCCCCACTCCAGGACACAACTGCAAGCCGGCCAAGCTTTAACTAACTCACGTAGGCTGACTTCAGTGATCATTCCAGGAGAAACCAGGCCTCTTCCAGGGGCTCTGAAAGCAGCGGTTTGAAAAGGCTCAGAAGGAAAGCAAATGATTTCTCCAAATGAAGGCCACGTCCCTGGAAAAGAGAGAAAGAAGAGTGGTAAGTGAAAAGTAGGCTTTGTTGCCGTGATCCCAGGGCAGCCACTGTGCCCTGTGGCTGGTGCCAGCACAGTCCCTAGGCTCAGAGCAAGTGACCCATACATGTGGCTGAAAGGAGGAAAGAAGAGAACTTGGGTTCCTAGGGAAGAAAAATACCCACAGAAAATTAAATAAGTAAATAAGTAACTACAATAGAGGAAGAACATGGAAAAAATGTCATGTTAGGGGCACCTGGGTGGCTCAGTGGTTGAGCCTCTGACTTCAGCTCAGGTCATGATCCCAGGGTCTTGGGATCGAGTCCCGCATGAGGCTCCCCAAAGGGAGCCTGCTTCTCCCTCTGCCTATGTCTCTACCTCTCTTTCTCTGCATCTCTCATGAATAAATAAATAAAATCTTAAAAAAAGTCACGTTCGCTAAATTGAGGAGTGACAAACAGGTCTCACATTTGCAGAAGAAAAGCAAAATAATGGGACGCCTGGGTGGCTCACCGGTTTAGGGCCTGCGTGTGATACTGAAGTCCCAGGATCGAGTCCCACATCAGGCTCCCCACATGGAGCCTGCTTCTCCCTCTGCCTGTGTCTCTGCCTCTCTCTGTGTGTCTCTCTCATGAATAAATAAAATCTTTTTTTTAAAAAAAAAGCAAAATAATAGTGATAATAATAGTAGTTACCACTTGCTGTACTACTGCTTGATCTGGTAACACAGTAGGCATTCAGGTTACTATGCTCAAGTAAATGAATAGATAAAACAGAGTTGTGAGTATGGGAGGGGAGTGGAAATAGTATTTAGCTAAAGTGAAAAAAAAATTTAAATGGATGGTAATTACAAGTTCATTTTCTCCAACACTGAGAACCAAGCAGGTGTGAGGCATTGAACTTGGCGCTGATCATAAAGAGGTTAGAAGACAGGGTATCTTCCGGGCTTGGTGAGATGGCACTCAAAACTAGAGCGTTGTTAGGGGGATCCCTGGGTGGCTCAGCGGTTCAGCGCCTGCCTTTGGCCCCGGGGCAAAAGGTGTGATCCTGGAGTCCCAGGATCCTGGAGTCCCAGGATCTTAAAAAAAAAAAAAAAAAAAAAAGCTAGAGCATTATTCAATGAACCAACATTTATCAAGCCCCTGCTCGGGCCAGGCACCCAGCTGGGCACTGGGGGGAGAGAGAGATAAGGAAGTCCCTCTCCCTGCCCTGCAGCAGCCCACAGTGGTATAGGAGGGGTGTCTGTAACAGAGATGGATGTACAGGGCTGTGATCAAGACAGGGAGAGAGGAACCTGTCTCAAGGGGATCACGACAGTCACCCTTCCTCACCAGACTTCAAACAAAGGGTTATAATTGCTGATCAGGAAGGTTATGGGATTCCTCCACTGATTGGGACATTTTCTTTTTTTTAAGATTTTATTTATTTACTCATGAGAGACACACACAGAGAGAGAGAGAGAGAGAGAGGCAGAGACACAGGCAGAGGGAGAAGCAGGCTCCATGCAGGGAGCCCGACGTGGGACTCCATCCGGGGTCTCCCGGATCAGGCCCTGGGCCAAAGGTGGCACTAAACCGCTGAGCCACCAGGGCTGCCCAATTGGGACATTTTCATGTGATAAATTCCTGCCCCCCCCAAGGAATCTGTGAGTGTGTGTGTGTGTGTGTGTGTGTGTGTGTGTACAGGTATATATACATTTTAATGCTCTAGAACCTGGAAAAAAGTGGGTTCTTCCAACCTACAAATAAGCACTAAGACTACATGATCCTCAGCTCCGTGACGATTTTAAGATCAGATGATACAATAATACAATGAGGGCAGAACTCAGACCCAATTCTATAGAAGGGTCGTCAGTATTTTGTGTTCAATCATCCCCCAAAGCATTTAAAAAATTTAGATGTGGTAATTGCTCGATATGTGGCAGCACTGTTGCTGCTGCAGCTGAGTCCGGGGCTGCAAGCATCCATCCAGGGCTCATCAGTTGAGAGGTCTCCCCAAAGGAGGTCAAGGAGAGCTGAGGGGGACGTCCTCTTACACAGCTGCCTGCCGCTGCCAGCGGGCTCCGACCAAACCTAGCTCTGCGGTGGGCACAAGCCAGCCCCAGGCTGTCCCACCTCCTGCGGCCCTTACATCCACCTGCTTTAAACCCTGCCCAGGTTGGACCCACCACAATTCTTTTGGGGACAGACAGAGTAACTAGTTAAAAGAACCCAGGGGGGAGTGGGATCTGGTCGTGAGCAGCTGTGATCTAACCCAGCACACGGGGATCTGTGCCATTTAAAGCTCTAGGCAGCTGTTTTGTGGCGGCTGTGCCAACCCAAGCTGCCGAGATAGCACAACCCTGCGTTGCCCCACGGGGCCAAATGTGGGAGGGTGGCAGCAAGACAAAAAAGTCTAGGAGCCCCCCAGTTAGAGCACCTCCCTCGCTAGCCCTGGGCCCGCCTGGCTGGGGGCGGGGTGCTGCTCTTCTCACCTCCCGCCACCTGCCACCCGCCACCTGGATGAGGCTCTGGTGATGATGGAAACACCCTGATTCCCAAATCCCGAGCGTTACCTTGGAATCTAGACACGTCGGGTGACACTCATCTTTCCCCCTTTACGTCTTTTCTCCTTTTTGAGTGCTTGACACATTACACAACACGTCTCCCTCCGAGTTGTGCAAACCATAAGGGCAGCAGCAGAGAGTTGAAAAACTGGTCTAACTTCAGTGAGACACACGTTACACAACATGGTGAGCGAAAGACCAGAAACAAATGAACAAATATTCCCTTGGATTTGATAAACTAATGAACGGAGAACACATCTGGTGGGAAAGTCACCAAAAAAAGATTTCCAGCCTGTCCTTCTCCTCCGCCTTCCTTCTCGGCTCTGCAGTGACCGTGGAAGTCTCCAGCAGTCTGGCCGCTTCCCTCTGCATTCTTGCTGAGCTTCACATCAGCACACAATGCGGGTTGAGGGGAAATGCTTCAGCTTGCTTTTTTTTTTTTTTTTTTTTCATTACCTTCACAGAAAAGACCTGGTAAGACTTTAAAACTATCTCATTTCACTCTTACTAGACCTACTTCTCATCAGTCAGTGACTTGGATTTTAATTTCACATGCTTCAGTAGGAGACAATTGTCATTGAAACAAGATTTACTAACACAAACTATTATTTTGTTGCGCTGGGGGCATGGGGAGGGGCAGGTGCTTAAAGACGGGTCTCAGGTGCCGCCGACTGTTGTTTTCACAGGAACTTTTCAGAGGCAGTGAGACTGGATATATGAACTGGGAGCAAGCAGACCTGGATCCCAGTTCTGACTCGACAGCTAACCTGCAGCCATTCACCTACCCCTGTTCTGTGACGCGGGGCACAACTGTCCCGCGGAGTAAGTGAGGGTCCCACCAGCCCAGCGGAGATCACGGCTTCCGTGGAAAACCCTTAGCAGTAACAGACTATAGGCTTCAAATCCCAGCCCTGTCCCTTAGGGCCGGTTACTGAAAAATGCTCTACTTCGCTTTCCCAGCCCATGCTTAACACTGGGGCGGAGCATTACATGACATGCCCCCCTGTGCAGTGTCACCAGAGGGGGCTGCTCCTTGCACTGTTTGCCTTATAGGTCCTTGGCACTCAGACACCTGTGGCATCGATGGCCAGGTAGGTCAGATAGGAACCCATTAGTTACTGCCTCTGAACACAGGGGTGCAGGAGCACTATCAGTGCTGGGGATGAGGGAGCAATGGGGGGGGGGACAATCTGTGAAACCGTGGCCAAAGCAGAAACACCACCTGGCCCCCTTTTCCTGATGTATAAGCACACCTTGCTCCCGAAAAGGTGGACCCGGGCTCAGTAAGAACCAGCTGCTTAGTGCCGTCGGGGGTGAGAGCTCTGCCCGGGGACCCCGCTTTGGTTTAAATCGGAGACCTTCTGCACAGCACCCTGGAGGGCGGGCTTCCAGGTGGAAGGGCCCCGGCAACATCTGCCTCGGCTCGATGTGGGAGGGGAGGGCGCGGGTGCCGCGGCCCTAACCGTCGGGACGGCCACCGCCTGCAGCCCAGGGTGGCTCTCCGCGGGGGAGGGACCCCCGGCCCTGGGTGGGTCGCTGCAGCACCGCGGCCCCAGCCCCCAGCAGCCCGGCCCTGCGGCTGCGGTCGGGACTGTGAGCGCGTCCCGCGCTGCAGGGCTGCGCTGGGGATTCGCGGGCACGTGAGTGGCCTGGGAGACCGTGGACGGGGGCCTTGCTGGAGCTTAGAGACGCGAGACTGCAGGGGGAAGGGCTCCAGCCAAACCGTCGGTGGATGGGCGCCCCGAGCTCCGCGCTTGGGCAACACGGGCTGCGCCGCGGCTCCCGCGCAGGCCCCCCCCGCCCCGAGAAAAGGAGAAACGCTCCGCGGCGGGGGCGGCGCGGCAGGCGGACACGCGCGCGCACGGCCCGGGCACCCGCCAGGCAGCCCGGCCGCCCCGGGCCTCGGTTTCCCCGTCTGCACGAACGAGGGCTTTGCACCAGAGCGCCTCCCAATCCTGCTGGTCGTCTAGAACTCCCCGATAGTCCACGCCCAAGCTGTCCGAGGCTCGGAGGCCGGAAAAAGAGGGGAAAGAGAGGAAAGACGACGAGGCGGAGGAAAGGGAGGAGCGGGGGGAGACCACGAGAGGGAAGCCGGCCGGCGGGCGCCCGGCACTGGCTTGGCGGGTTTTCGACCTTCCTCCTCCTCCTCCTCCTCCTCCTCCCCACACCTGAGCTCTCCCGTCTCGGCCAGGACCATCGCGCCCATCGAGCGTGCGCACCAGTGGTCAAGCGTCGCCCTCTACACACCAGTTTCTGGGAGCCGTGGGGCAGGTGGTGGGCAGCGCGGTAATGCACGCGGGAGATGCAAGGGGCAGTGGTCCCGGCCGGGGTCCCCGGGGCAGGTGAGTGCATCCGAGCCGGGCGGCAGCGCAGGCGCCCGGGTCTCAGCCCGCGTGCCCCGGGAGGGCCAAACCTCATTCCCCAACTGCAGCCAGGGGAGGGGGTGTTCGGGGCTGG